GGTAGTTGTTGGGAGCACTATGCTCGAAGTTGTTGACGAGTACGTTTACCTGGAACAAATAGTCCGACTAGGTAAGTCCAACTTCGACCGAGAGGTCAATCGACGGATTCAACTCGGCTGGGCAGCGTTCGGGAAATTACGACACGTCTTCTCGTCAGGTATACCTCAATCTCTGAAAACTAAAGTGTACAACCAGTGCGTGTTGCCAGTGATGACTTACGGATCAGGGACGTGGTCATTCACTGCTGGCCGTATGAGGACGTTCAAGGTCGCTCAGCGAGCTATGGAGAGGGCTATGCTCGGAGTTTCTCCGCGTGATAGACTCAGAAATGAGGATATCCGCAGTAAAACCAGAGTGACCGACATAGCCCAACGGATTAGTAAGCTGAGGGCAATGGGCCGTCATTCTGTAACCGATGGGGAAGAAAGGTTCTCGAGTGGCAGCCTCGTACCGGTAGGCGTAGTGTAGGGCGACCCCCCACTAGATGGAGTGACGACCTGGTAAGGCATGCGGAAACTCGTTGGACGAAAGTAGCTTAGGACTGTGATTTGTGGCGGATTGCTTGGGGGAGGCCTATGTTCAGCAGAGGACTTGTGAAAGGCTGTAATGATGATGATGATGAATGATGATGTGCGGCGGTCGACACTTACCATCAGTCGAGTCGCATGCTCGTTCACCCGCTATTCTATAAAAGGAATACAAAAAATTCCGAGTTCATTTCTAAGTGCAAATTTACAACGCGAACTTGACGATGAAAGAAAACATCAAGGAAATCTGCATGTTTAAGAAATAATATATTTCGAAGAAATTCTTATGACTCAAGAGGCACTGGAGCAGCGCGGCGAGCTATCTGCTGTATAACCTTCTCATTAATGTAAGAAAGTGCCTGCTCAGTAATTGGATGTATATATGCTGTTACTTTACTTTTACCACGTTTATGCTGTGTACCAATGCAATGGAATTTTATATTTACCACGTGGGACGTCTGAATGATCTTAAGTGTTGCAGACGCATTAAGAACCGATAACACTATTATAATGACTATATAATCTACTACTCTTACTAACATCATCACAACTCAAATTATTTTAAAAACTCTGATATTATTATATAATCGAAACTGATTGAGAATTGACAATGCTTGAGAACTAGTGGACATCCGGTGGTCGAAAATCGACCGTATCCGACCGTACAAGCTGTATTTAACTTTCAAATGCACACTGATATATAGAGCACAAATACCTTATATACAAAATACACTCCACAGACTTGAAAAGAAACATTTGAAGTCGCTTAAAAATTTACAGCTCATTCAGTAATCTATCACACAGTACATCAATCGGGTGTCCAACGACATTTAAAAACATTGAGTTATAATGTACTACGTACACTTTATAACTCAATAATTAAAAACAAAAAATTCGCATTTTCGTATATATAATACGTAATCTCATTTTTTTATAATTTAATATTAATTACTATTTGAATAAATTTCAAAATATCATTTGTCGTAAGCTAGAGGGTTGTTTATTGTGGTAGATTTGACGTAATACAAAGACGTACGCATACAACCGTCACTGTTCACAAAATACTGAGAACATTCAGTGGCTTTTCCGAACCAGTGGAAAAATTAAAAAAGACTTAATAAGAATTACTTGTAGACAATTTATAATAAATAAAAATTATTTTATTCTGATAGTACAAAATATGTTCCACCAGCCTCACATTTGACATCCTACAAAAGCGTCTTATTACAACGTTGATCCAGAAACAAAAACTAATTACTTATTTATAGTGTATTGTTTAGTATGTTTAGTATATATAATCCTGGCATACCTCTTTAATGCAATTGGTCATTTAAATAATTAAAATATATTAAACTTTTACATAACACCAGTGTTGCAATTAGGATTGCTTGTTTGTCGTCGTATAATAATTTTAATGGCACATTGCATTAAGGAGGCGTGCCAACATTGCCTGTTAACTGAATAAGACAAGTAAGGGAATCTTAAGTATCCTTTACATCACTTGTGCAATTTTTCCTATGCCCTTATTTTATGGAAACTTTTATTTTGTTTTAAAGAATTTATAATGCTAGGTTTTTATGACTATAAGTTTCTCCTAAACGTTTAGATTTTATTTTTTATGAAAATCTCATATGTCTTGAATCTCAAATCTGATGTCAAATGATTTTCGTTTAATATCAAATAACCCAGTTCTTTTATAAATAAAATTAAATAAAATAATAAAATTAAATTATATAGAAGTTTTTTAAGATTTCAGTTTTATTACGTTTCTCCTAATGTCTTATGTTCAATTTTAGATGTTTGTGATTTTATGTCATTTTAAATAATTGTAGGTAATTGTAGGTCAGATTTATAAATAAATTTTATTTCTATATGCTTGTTTTTCTTTTTCTTTTTTTCGCTCACAAAATATTGTGTAATTGTTACTATTTGTTTTTTTCTTGCTTGTTGAAAAAAGAGATCTGTACTTCTACTTTGAAATCAAACTACTCTCAATATTAATGAAAAGCCAAATAGGAGCACAATCCTTTAGAATCACTGAAATAACTTTAATTTTGATAGTTTGTCATTCCAAAATTGCAATATTTAAAATCACTAAATATGGGTTCAAATTACTATTGGTACAATTATTAATAATTAAAGGAAACATGTTTTACGTCCATATATTCCAAGCATTTTAGAACGAATTTTTACGGAGATTTACCGATTCGCCGTCATGCCAAATAGACGTAAAGACCAAAACTAGTGTTATACAGGAAATACTTTAAAATCAATCATCCCCTAGTAACTGAAGTGTAAATATATGGTCAAAAAATACGAGCTGACGAAATCACAAGAAAAGTTATTAATTTTTTTTGTGTATCCTGAAAAGTAACGGTTTTGTGGATACTATGATTCCGCTATGATTTGTGACCCGCAATTTCGTTCCCAACATATTAAAATGTTTTACCGACAATCTCTAATCTACGCGTCTTTTTGACCACTTGATTTTGTAAGTATGAATATAAGTAAACGACAGACTATTATGTGTTTGACATTAGCGGTATGAATTTAAACAATGAGCGTTTTTTCTGTTTTATTCAATGTATTTTAATTAATATTATAGTCATTATGTACTTCTTCTTCATATAAACTTTATCTATGCCAAATCTTTCATTTCGCTGTACGCGCAATATGCTTAAAAAGGGATAGAAACGTTTCGGTTGACTTGATAATATATTATAGATAATGGATTTAAACCATACCTTACGGTATCCATAGCAATACGAATTCCGAACGTATCTGTTCAATTCGAGAGGTAATATTAAACAATGGGGCCCGGATAATCCGTCAGATTTGAGAAGGTAAACGATTTTCAATCAATCTCCCGTACAATCCTTCAGCTTTGATTAAAACGAGTTCATCGCGAATATTAAATACAGTTGAATTGAGTTTGAGATATAAATATAACTTAACAGACAATCTTTATTAGAAATTTCAATCTACCGAAATTAAATCATAGATGTTGATTTATCTTTCGTAATCATTTTTTCAGCACTTAAAATTGTAATTAACAATTTTGTTGGTGTCGGTTCGAAGACATGTGAAGTTCGCCAACACGCATTGGGCAGCGCGCCGGACACGACACTTCATTGCCCTAAAACCCTCTTAAAAATTAAAATATGCCTATGCCCAGCTGTTGGACGTATATAAGCTATAACTTAAACTTTAACTTATGATTATTTTTGAAGCGTTAGTAGAGAAGCCGCGTGGTCTAATTACCTACTAGCGCGTCACATATATTTTACATAAATGTCGCGGTGAGTCGACGTCATTTGACATTTATGTAGAATATGTGTCTGTTTCTAGGTTTTGACTGTCCTAGTATTTGTGGCAAAGTCGGGCTATTTGTAGATGCTGGTGGTAAGACTCTGCTTCTGCCTGGGAGACCGTTTGAGTAGAATCACCCTCTTACCTTTAAGTGGCTTCTGCAGACCAAGCCAACTTCAAACAAAGTAAGCTACAGAGGCGTTGCCACCTCTGAGGGTTAAGATGGAATAAATAAAAGGGTGGTGCAGTTATAACTGTGTAGTAACAGTGTGAGAATATCCACTACCTTAAATTATCGTCCAGTGTATGTTGAAAGAGGCGGCAGAGGAAAACTGTAGCAGGAGATGGGCAGCAGCATCTTCCTGATAAAAACTCAAAATAATTAAAAACCGCAGTTGTCAACCCGCCTGCCAAACGTAGCATCTATGCCAAATTTCTTCCTAAGTATCCGTCTTCGTGGGAGGCCTATGTTCAGCGATGATTCAGAATTGTTTCACGATTGTGATGAAACTTCACGAATATAATATTTATATGTGGTAGAGCCACGCTGCAGCTATATTATGGTTGTAGCACGAATGGGTCGGCTCGACCGGGGAAGGACCACGCTTTCACAGAATACCAGCGTAAATAGCAGCTTAATACTGCTGTGTTTCGTATGGTGAGTGTAGAGATCTGGAGACCACTTTTTACTGGAAAGGAGGCATTCCGTATAATTCCTCAGGGGTGACAACTCATCTGCGTTTAAGGGCCGCAGCATCCACTTACCATCAGGTGGACTATGTGTTTTATAAAAAAAGAATAGATAGAGAGTACGGCCAGGTGTTATCGAGGCTATATTTTATCCGAAAAACCTGAAGTATTTATTTGAGAAATAGAAATATTTACAAACAAAATAAGTGTTCTTCGATGATTGTTAAATATAAACAATAACACATTAACAGATTCTGCCCACGCGAAGCCGGGAGGGGTCACTAGTCCATCATAAATTAAGAATATACCTAGATGGACTGTCTTACTTTACTTTAAATGGGTCTTCGGTTCTCGTCACCATACTAGTTCACACTCATATTTTTAAATATCTGGATAGCTTCATTACAACACACGAGAAGCTGTCTTCAGCAATGGCCTCTAATGATGATCAATGATAATAATAATGATTAAGTTTAAGTTTGACTGTCTATTGCTGTCTCTGGCTTTAATATACCACAGAAGGCTCCACCACTGAAGATGGTAGATTTAGCAGTGGCTTGCAGTGTAATTAACTGATAACGAATGTCGTTCCTACCAGCATAGGTAAACATCAGCCTCTGCAATGTAGTTAATCAACAGACAGTTCAATAATACATAAATACTTTGGTTTTACTAATATTATATGGATACCTTAATAAGCTTGTTTTGCAGCTTGGTGACAGCCATTCGTTCCTTTTGAGTTCGCCGTTTCTCCTCTTCCAGCTGAGCTTCCAGCTGTTTTATACGCTTTTCCAAAAGTTCCTATAACAATAAGAAAGATGACATTTATTAAGTTCTTTTAAAATAAAATCAACTCTATATGCGGGAACTGTAAACTGAAAGTATCTAATATCAGCTCCTAGTTGATTTCATAAATTCACCCACTTTTTAATAATCAGATTTCTCTTAAAACCGTTAAATAAATTGATAAACAAAGTCAAAGCCTACTCGAAGTGAAGGTATGCTTCTGTCTATGGCGACATGCAACCAACCTCAAAAAAAGGTTGGGCATAGTTTCGTTTACAGGCCCAAGCACCCGATAACTCAGATGAAATGATTTTTTTTATAAACGTTTTTGCCTAATATTTAAGTATATTAGAGGCGGCGTATAATCTACTAATCCATATCATTCAGTCGTTCTCGGTGGCGACAGACACAACACACAAACACACACACATACAAAACACACACACACAAAAGACACACACACACACACACACAGACACACAAAACACACAAAACACACAAAACACACAAAACAAACAAAACACACACACACACACACACACACACACACACACACACACACACACACACACACACACAACACACACACAACACACACACACATACACACACACACACACACACACACACACACACACACACACACACCACACACACACACACACACACACACACACACACACACACAACACACACCACACACACACACACACACACACACACACACACACACACACACACACACACACACACACACACACACACACACACACACACACACACACACACACACACACACACACACACACACACACACACACACACACACACACAAGCGCGTGCGCGCAGATAACAGTGCAAAATAATAAAAAAACTGTGGTAGCCTACCCGCCTGCTTCGCGAAGCAGCAATAGCAAATATCCTCCCTATTTGGAGGAGACACATGTTCGGTGAACTTTTCATAGGCTGTAAGTAAATAAGTGAATCTAAACCATAAAAGAAACCACGCCCACAATCTGAATATAGTATCGAAAGTCAAAACGTACTCGTATTTCCCCACACTCAATTCCCGCTAGAGTTCTGATGCAGACTGTCCAAATTATTTAAAATTGAGCGAAGCATCGTTACAAAGGAATTAACCTGGCAGAGCCGAGTAAACATCACTCCCATTTAACTTGTCTAAAGTTTACATTGCCGGGGAAATTGTACGATTGGGCACAAAGCTAACCGGATGTGACGTCGTTTATCCGGTGTCATTAGCCGGATATGCACCCTGCTACCCCGACTCCAGCGCGATATGCCGTAGCGGGGTAATTTTTCCTTCACGCTTCAAGGCTTTTGGGGTTAGCAAGCCAGACAATGCTATGTATATTATTCATTACAAGAGTAATCATATTTTACAATAAGTTTTAACAAAATTTATATAATAAAAAACAACTGCTGACTTTGACGGCTCAGTAACGCAATAGTTATTTAACCAAAAAAATTAAAGTAATGTAACAAGCGTTTTATGTTTATAATCTACAAATATTTTTTCGAGATTGGATCTTTTTTATATATAAAACATCTACAGGGTACAAAGGAAACTCCCAACGTGGGTAACATAATTTTTAAATTTAATTAAGATAATATATAACTAGGTATTTTTTATAGAATAAGAATGACAAACGAACACGTGCCTGTTGTCGTTGGTGTACAGACATCTATATCTATCATCGATTAAAAATCAAAATGCAGATGCGCTGTCATCCCTGAGAAGATTAATTGCATCGTTAAAATGACCTACGCTTATCTACAGTCACCATACGAAACACAGAAGAATTTTTCTGCTTTTTCAAGCTTGTCTTCTGCGATAGCGTGGTGCTGCCCTGGTCGAGCCAACTCATTTGTGCTGCAGCGTAACTTTCCCATGCTAATACCTATTTTAAACGTTAATTTACGTTCATGGATAACCCCGCCCTCACTTCTTCTTGTTATGATACTATATCTTAATACATATAAATTACGTGTCACGTTGTTTGTCCGCGATGGACTCCTAAACTACTTAACCGATTTTAATCAAATTTGCACACCGTGTGTAGTTTGGCCCAACTTGAGAGATAGGATAGTTTTTGCCCATGAGTGACCCACAATTTTTTTGACGACATGACAAAGTGTCGTCGAAAAGGGCAGAACAAAGTCTGCCCGGCAAGCTAGTATATACTACAATCGTAAGTGAGATCTCTTGAAATTGAGTCGAGCATAGTTATTTCACACAATTTATGTTATTATATATATGTGTGTATGTTACAGTTAAAGCCCGTTTTTAGATAGAATGCGTTTTCCCTTGTTAAAACTAGTTTTTAAAAATTTCTTTGTGAAAACTAGAAATACCTAATCAAAGTAAGAAAGCGTTAAAACTCACCACTCGTTCGATAAGAATAAATGGCTACACAGGCAACTAGAATCGATCATTCTACAAGTCTTAATCGATGTCGTTAATCTGTGTCGTGTGCATTCTTTTCGTACAAGTAAAGAAAATTATGTGGCAGAGAGTTTGCCGTGTATTCTGGTTGGGCGGTGTTGCTTATTTTGGTGATTTATTGTATTTGCTTCGAATGCGTTACATGATTATTATGTAGTCGTTACCATGGAATGTTATTGTGATAAATAATGAGTAAGACGTGTTAAATTATAGTGTACACCCTGGTATTCACACTCTTATAACAATTCTAATATCATTCAGTCATTCAATGAGTCATACAAACAATTTCCCAAAGCAGCCAGCTTCCGCCCAAAGGTTCATTTACAAAGGGCGACGTTTCCGAATGACATCTCGCGAACAATGACTAAAATGTAAGTAACAACGAAATATTGCTTAAATGATAACGAAAATTATACCTTAAGGACAAAGAAATTCGTTCCATTTAGAATGCAAATCAATTAATGTTAATATAAAATGATTAAGGACAAAGGGAAGCGTTGTAATTTAGATGGCGTACATAAATGTATTTTCCATTAAAGATATAGATTATATACTATTTATTTTCTTCTGAATCTCGCAACTTAGAGACAAAGTGGTCAATTTAAATTCCATAACACGACAGTAGCTTAAGCTTAAATTCAGTTTGGATATCAGTAAAATTACAATCACCGTTACAGTCAACAGCTGAACATAAGCCTCCCCTTTATATTTATTATTGCCTCATGGGGGGATTGCGTGGCCAGCTTAGCAAGCGGGTTGTCAAGCGCAGTTTTTTTTTTTTTTTTAATCTTCAATCTCATGATTTGCTTCTCTCTGTCGCCTCTTACGACATCCACAGGATGATATGGGGTCGTGGATATTCTTACACCGACAGTACACAGTTAATTGTTTATGAGATTTTTAAGATCCTATTCAACCACATGTTCGGCGATGAAAGAAAACAACTTATTTCTGCATAGCACAAATGAGTACGCAGTCCACGTGATGTATGGTGGATGATGTGGCCTATAAAAACCAACATCTATTCGCGATTACTATTTTTGTTATTTTAATAAAACGAATACTATCCGATGGTAAATGGCTACTGCCTGCCATGAAAACCCGAAGCCAATTTCCAATATAGAAGTTTACATTTGCGTCACCTCTGAGGACCAAGACGAAATGCTTTACAGCCTGTAACTGTTCTGGCTCTGTACCATTCAGACCGGAACACAGAGCAGTACAAGCACTTCTTTTTGGCGTCAGAAATATGTCAAGGTGGTGATGATGGACGTACCTAAACGGATTCTAAGGTAAAAATGAACCACCGCCTAATATTACCACCTGGTGTCACATGGTATTAGTTAGCAGATGTGAGAACTCAAGAGAACTAGACATAATATGTCGTTACCAGTAAAAGGATGTCCAGTTCTCTACATTTAACCTTACGAAAGAAAGCATTAAGCTGCTATTTTACGCTGGCATACTGTGGTCCTCCCCGGTCAAGCCGATCCATTCTTGCTGCGGCCATAATATAGCTAAACTATATCTCTACCACTCTTTTGAAATTAAAAATTATGATTATCATAGAGTACATAAGAACTGTGACTCAAGGGTTAAGCGCTCGTAGTTACTTTCACAGAACGCAAACAATCCCGAATCGATCCCCGTCAGCACCAATATCCGCAGACACTTTCTTGCCCTAAAAACATCTCATAAATAAGAATAGGTCTATGCCCTGTCGTGGTACGTATATATGCTGTAACTTAAGTATATTACTTAGCATCGGCTGAATACTAGCAACTTCTGTATTTTCTTTTCTTCACAGAACTAAATGTGGTTTATCGTATGGCATGGAATCTATCCGTTGTATTCAAAGGTAATGCGAGTCAATATGGTTGGTACGCCACTGGTTCTACTTGAACTTTATTCACGTTCCGGAATTTGATGACAAATCTATAAGTACCTACTATGATCTACTTAATTATGAGTTATATACCGCCTCCCTGGTGCGCATGCGTTATTATAAATAACAGTTTTCGACGCGTAAGGAGGGAGTGAAATGTTCTGGAAATATCGCGAAATTAATGGCCACCGTTATTGGAAAATGATATAGGATGCACATTCACACACTCCTTTGTCATAATTTATTATCTGCAGAGATTATATTTTACTTCAATAATTTGTAGGTAAGTCAAAATTATGGAAGTACATTTCTTTAGTTCTTATATTGCAACCGAGGATACATCGGTTGGGAAATTCTCAAAAAGCAACGAAGCTATTTTTCTGTAATTTTATATCAATGTTCTTTTTTAAATTCCAAACATAAATCAGATATAATGTACAATTATGTACAACGTACCCTAGAACCTTTAAAAACTTTCTTAATACAAGGTCATTAAGTGCCAAAGTTCTCACTCCTAAACTGCTTCCAGTTAAATTAGTCTTTCTATACTGTAATAATTTCTGCTACAACAAATTTTAAAATCATCGAAGTTCGCTACTGAACACAGGCCTCCCTATAGGTTGCATCGTAAGGGGAATATTTGCCATAGTTACCACGTTTGGCAGG